TATAGGACTAGTCTTTTCTAGCACCACCCAATGGGGACAACGGGTACTGAAGCTGACTGATGGATATGGGAAGGAACAAAACATGTCTCTGACACGTGTGCCTTGCAGTGATGTGGAGCAGTTGTTTTTACCAGGTATTAGATCTCCTCACGTGGCTTTCTCTGTTAGCCCTGGAAATGGCATTTTGGCAGGTTGCTTGGCTTATGTATTTACATTTCCTCCCAATTCCATAAGATCACTTTGCCATCTTTGGGGGGCTCTTGGGGGTCTTTTGCTGCCTGCCTTTCCCTTTTCTTACCGCCTATGTATTTGAACACATTGTCCACATTCAGCAGGAATGGGAGAAGGCTGGAGTCCTGTTTCACACTGGAGCCACTTGGCATTGGCTTGTTCTGTTACATAAACTGTGTATTTGCATGTGCATGTATGTGGCTGGTGGGCTGTGTGTATAGATGGTATCTGTGTAAGCACATAGGGCCTGCATGTTGGACTGAGGCCTCCTGCTCTAGCTAAAGATGTACAGGAATTTTATTTCCTTTGAAGTTGGGTATTTCTAATCTCTGTCCCCAGCAGAGTTTAACTGCAAGGCTTGGGCTTGCATTAGGAGCTCTTGCCTAGGAACGCAGGCTTGGGCTCCATCTCGTTCTGACCTTTCTTCCCTTAGATTTTAGTAAGGAGAATAGCTTATCATTTATTAAAGACAATTGCTTGACTCCTGACTTCAGATTCAGTGCCTGAATTCCAATTTCTCTGACCTTGAGACCACATTTTTCATGTAGCTTCTAGTTCAGACTTTGGTCAAATCAGTGCTCACTAAGGTTTGTGTGCTAAGGTTAGTTTCATGAGACTCAAGAGTATTGGTACACACACGCATAGAGTATATCATAGAATATATATATATATATATATCCATCAACAGATCTCAGTGAGATTGTCAACAGTTCATTCCAAGACTAATAACTTTAAAATATATTACATAATATACAATATATACGTAATATATCAGTTATTTGTAATAATGGGTTTCATAACATTTTCATATATGCATGTGCTTTATCTTTAAGAGTTTATTTTTAATTTTGTGTTTATCTGTGTGAGTCTGTGTGTGTGTGTGTGCAGATGCCTGTGGAGGCCAGAAGAGGGCATCTGATCCCCTGGAACTGGAGCTACACCCAGATGTGGGTGCTAGAAACCAAGCTTGGGTCTGCTGCAAGAGCAGCAAGCACTCTTAACTACTGAGTCGTCTCTACAGCTCCAATATATAATGTATTTTATTATATTCACCCTGTTTAAAAATATTTTTATATGTACATTTATATGTATATAAATTTTTTTTCTTGGTCTTTTTGAAAAAGGGTGTCCCTATAGTCCCAGCTGGCCTCTGCCTCCTGCATGCTGGGGTTAAAGGCATATACCACCAAGTATGAGCTTATATATATATTTTGAGATAGGGTCTTGTTCTGTAGCTGAGGCTAGCCTTGAACTCACTGTGTTGTCTGGGCTGGCTTCAAACTTGAGGCAATTCTTCTCTCTCCTGCCTCTGCCTCAGCCTACTGATTACTAGGATTAAAGGTGTGTACCACCACATTTGGCTTATGATTTGTATGTATATGTGTGCATGTGTTCATGTGTTAATGTGTCTGGTGCTGGGAATCAAACCCAGACTGTCAGGTCTGCTAGGCAAGCATACTACCACTGAGCTTCATCTACAGCCCTGATGATTATTTTTATGGCTTTTCTGAGACAGATCTCGTAATCTTAAACGTCATGTGGTTTTATCCAGTGGACCTAGGGCTCCCTGAAGGCTAGACAAACACTCTGTCAACTGAGCTACATCCCAGCCCTCTGAAGTGTCATTTGTGTCATTCTGTTTACTTTGGTGAGTGTGTCTGTACTGTCAGCTGTGGTGACAGTGTCTGTCAGCTGTGGTGAGTGTGTCTGTACTGTCAGCTATGGTGACAGTGTCCGTACTGTCAGCTGTGGTGACTGTGTCTGTCAGCTGTGGTGACTGTGTCAGCTGTGGTGACTGTGTCTGTCAGCTGTGGTGACTGTGTCTGTCAGCTGTGGTGACTGTGTCGACTGTGTCTGTCAGCTTTGGAGGCTGTGTCTGTCAGCTTTCCTGACTCTGTCAGCTTTGGTGTCTATGTCTGTCGGCTTTGCTGACTGTGTCTCTCAGCTTTGGTGGCTGTGTCCCTTGAGCACTTGGTTATACTCATATGAGTAACATTCTTAAAATGTAGAAAATTCAGAAAGTGTTTGTGTTTAAAAAGTGGGTGATGAGGTCCTTGGTCCATTTCAAATTGAGTTTTGTGCAGGGTATGAGATAGGGATCTAGTTTTATTCTTCTGCATGTAGCTATCCATTTTGACCAGCACCATTTGTTGAAGATGCTGTCTTTTCACCAATGTATATTTGGCCTTTTTGTCAAAAATCTGGTGACTGTAGCACTGTCTTTTATTTGGGTTTTCAATTCTATTCCATTGATCAGTGTGTCTGTATTTTTATGCCAGTACCATGCTGTTTTATTAGTATGGCTTTATAGTATAACTTGAAATCAGGAGTGGTGATCCCTCCAGCAGCATTTTTATTGTTGTGTTTCCATATGAAACATGAGATTAGTTTTTCAATTTCTGTAAAGAATTATGCTGGAACTGTAAGAGCCAGAGGTGGTAGATGATTATAACAAAACAGTGTTTTCTGCACATAAGAGGGTATTTGCACACACGAACTGACAGCAGTTGTGACAATATGCACAAGATCTGTGCAAGTTCAAACCAGACAAATCTCCTTCATGGAGGAGGGAGGCAGGCATGATGTTCCTTCCATATCTGAGGCGCTATTAGTGGTTGATAAGTGCTGGGAGTGGGAGTTTTCGTTAAGAGTGTGGCTTCTAACGTGCATAAAACAGGAGGCTGCAGAGTGCGTAACCCTGAATAAGGACCCTATATATCAAACTTCTGCCTCCCGATGTTCAGAGATCATTATGGAAGATGGGAGGTGAAAAGATTCTAAGATCTACAGGTAATGGATGACCACAAGGAAATAGAGTTTTCTAGGCAGCTGGTCAGTTATTCATATGAACTCATAGCAGTGGTGACAGCATGAATAAGTCCCATGCAACCTCAAACCAGATGAAATTCCAGTGTAGACACAAGGAAGTAGGTAAGAAACCCCAACCCTACCTGAGGAACTCTTTGCAACCAATGGCTGCTGAAAGAGAAAGGGTCAGTCTCTTTTAAGGCTGTGACTTTTGGTAGATTAACCAGCCTTCAGTGGATGGGCCCACATTGAAGGACATTTTGGATCACAAATTAGACTGTAGGCCTTAAGGAGAGGTATTGATAGGGGAGGGGATCTAAATACCATCAAAATACTTTGTATGAAAATTACAAACATTTAATTAAAAAATGTGTGGCCCTGGTAGACTGACCACGCTCCAGTGGATGGCCACACATCCAAGAGTACATGGATAGTACAAATTGGGCTCAATAGTTTTAACAGAAAAATAAGGACATTAATTTGGGTGTATAGGGAAAGGGGATAGATCTGGGAGGAGCTAGCAGGGGAGGGGGGAGATGATCAAAATACAAAATATGAAATTCTCAAATAATTAACAATAATTAGAAAGTAGATTAATGCTTATTCCAAGACAACCTTGGACTTGAATGTTTTATGGCCAGTTATGTAAATGCTGTAATTTTAGATCAGCTTGTTCTGGGCTTATTAGTAATTGCTATTGAATCCGTAAACCACCTCAAGATCTCCTGGCTTTGAACAACCATTGCTGTTTCTTGTGATTTTTGTGAGTGGGTGGGCACTGTTGTGGCCTGTTCTAGGCATGTCTGCTGTGTTCCCTCCATGCTTCCACTTGTCTGGGGCTCCGAGTCACCTCAAGCTTGGAGTCTCACCCTTCCAGGATAAATCTCCCCACCAAGTGTTTTTTCCAAGGAAGTTGTAGGACCAGATAATTAGGCAGTGAGGGGCATATACACCAGAAGGCCTTCTTCAGCCAGGACTTAGAAGCTATATGGAACCACTTCTCCTGTACTTCTTTGGCCAGTGAAGGTCCTACCTCATGTAGAGGCCATGGGTGAGAAAGTCAGCTCTACTTGTCAGGAGAAGAATGAACCACCAAGATTGTACATGATGTAAGACTTGTCTTACATCACAGAGTTGGCAATCCTAAGCCTTCTCTGCCTTTTCAAAAACTATACAACAAGGCTGGCGATATGGTTCAGTTGGTAGTTTACTCACATGGAGTGCAGGAAGCCCTGGATTCAGCCTTAGCAGTGCATAAGCCCGGCATGGTAGTGGACACCTGTAATCCCAGAACGTGGGAGGTAGAGTCAGGAGGATCAAGATAATCCTCAGTTACATAGTGAGTTTGAGACCACCCTGGGCTGTATGAAACCCTGTCTCAAAAACAAACAAGAGGAAAAAGCTGCACAGACATATGTTATTGTTTTCAGAATTGCTCCAGTTTTACTGAAGTACAGTTGACACATCTAAATGGCATATACATGAGATAAACAACAGGGTGCTTCAACATATGTGTCTTTTATATGTTCAAGGATATATGTTCATTTAGATATATATACTTATCCATACATCTATGAATTTCTAAGCATATTAATCCATAAGCCAATTTTCTAGTTGCATCAAGAAAATATTTTTTCTTTAAGTGACAGTTATGCCCAAGTCCTTCCTGGGACCACTGGCTCATTTCACTGGTGGCTGGATCAGTCCACCTTAGCCTTATCCTTCCTTACACACCTCACTGTGAAGTTAACTTTCACTTCATAGACTGAATGAAGCTCAGGTTTACCCACCCTGGAAAGGACCTATCTGTAGCAAGGTACTTAGGGGACAGGTCAGAAGTAGGAAGACTCACTGGGATTCAGGGACCTCTGGCCTTGGGGCCCTCAGCAGTGAGTGTCACCATTGCTGTGCAACCTAGCTATTTTCTCCCCACTGAAGTGTCTCTCACTCCTGTGTTTCAGAGATTGACCAAAGTGCTGACAACTTGTATGTGTTTCTTCTGATATGTGGGCTCAGGAAAGTGAAGGACCCTTTGTACTTGGTGGACGTGTTCTCAGGTATGTGGACCAGAGTCACCCTCTCTTTGGTCTGGAAACTTGCAGGTGGAGATGTGTCTTAGCCTTGTGCTCCTGATGGGAAGTCTAGGCTGGCCTTGAACTCACGATCCTACTGCTTCACCTTTCCATGTGCTGGGATGACAAGTGTGTGCTACCTCACCTGGCAGGATCTTCTTTTATCTTCTTTCCTTGCATATAAGCAGAACTACTTCTAGATTATTTCTTTGGAAACAATCAGAAAGATAATTTATGGAATTAATAAAATCTCTGTGTAGAATTTCAGTTTCAGGTTTGGTGGACACCATAAGACTGCAAATAATTATAAGGCCGAAAGAATTTTGTATAAGAATGGGATAGGGGCTCATGCTCATGATCCTGTCACATGAGAGGATTGGGTATGAGGATTGCTGTGCATTGAGGCCAGCATGGGCTACAGAGCAAGACCCTATGTCAAAAAAACAAAAACAGCGAAACGAGAGAATTTCAGACGTACTTTGTCTGGAAATCTTTCCAAGGTTTGTTTGTCTGCTCTACTTGCAGTTCTGCGTCATTGTTTGAGTTGCTCCAAATGTGCTTTAGTTGGTTCTGATATCCATACTGGGGTTTGTTGATCTATTTATCCTAATTTTCCAGTAATTAGAAATCTGGATAATGAGTGGGAGAGATGGCTTAATTGGTAAAGTGCTTGCAGTGTGAATACAAAGACCTGAGTTCCATCACCAGGACCCACCTAAAAAGTGTGTGTGGTGATGGGTGCTTCTAGGCCTGGGAAGGTGGATGCCTGGGGCTCAATGGCCGGTCAGCCTAGACTACTCAATGAGTTCTAGACCAGTGAGAAACCTTGTCTCAAAACAACAACAAAAAAACACCCAAGGTGGACAGCGCCCGAGGAATGATACTTGAAGTTGACCTTTGGCCTCCTCATACACACATATGTGTACCTGCACACACACCTACAGAAAAAAATGAAATCTGATAATATGTTACATGATAAAGAAAAATGCTACTTAAAACCATAAGATGTCACATACAGAGGTTCTAGACATATGAACTTGATCCTGGCTAGCGAGCATGAATAGACACATAATGACATAGAGTGCCACATACACTGTGCACTACTCCGTTGTAAACTGAATTGTCTTTCTAGATGTGACTTGAAGCCATGTTAGGTTTATTGAAATCATTTTCTTTCTTTCTTTTTTTCTTCCCAAGAATGGCATCAAGAAGTACCCAGTGTTTACATGGTAATCGTAGGTCCTGAGGTGAGTCTATGCACTGGGAATATGTGTCATGACTGTTCTGTTCTATGAATTTTTGAAGCATTTTCTACAATAATTTACGTTCTTCTTCTAGCCAACTGGACTTTTTTCTGTTTTTAGTAACTGAAGTGAGTTTACCCTTTTACTACATTTTATTTAGTGCATGTGGGGGCCACATACACGTCATGACATGCCTGTAGAGAACAACTTGCTAGAATTCTTTCCTTTTACAATGTGGCTCTCAGATATTGAACTCAGGTTGTCAGTCTTGGTGGCAAGTGCCTCTTTACATACTGAGCCATCTCCCTGGCCATAGTTTGCCCTTTTAAAAATGAAAACCACTGGGCCGGGCGTGGTGGCGCATGCCTTTAATCCCAGCACTCGGGAGCAGAGGCAGGCCGATCTCTGTGAGTTCAAGGCCAGCTTGGTCTTGTGAGTTCCAGGACAGCTGGGGCTACAGAGAGACCCTGTCTCAAAAAGACTGAAAAAGAAAGGAAGAAAGAAAGAAAGAAAGAAAGAAAGAAAGAAAGAAAGAAAGAAAACCACCTAGACTGTAGCTCAGTGTCATAGCACTTGTCAAGTTTGCATGGACCTGGATTTGATTCCCAGCACCCCCACCCCATAGAAACTAGACCAAGATTAAAGATCATAGCTGCAATTCATTTTTGTAGCTGATTTACTGTAAAAATCATTACAATTAATCTTTACACTAATTAATGTTGCAAAGAATAGAAAATTCTTATGGAAAAACCAAGGGGTTATATAAAGAAAAAATTATTTAAAATAATATACTGACAAAACTTAATCTAAATTAGTATATAAGCCAAACTTTATGTGTGATCCAAAGTATTTTTGAAACTCCCTCAAATTGCTGAAAATATGAACCCAGAGCTGTCCTTGATCCTAGCACCAGGTCAACCTGCTGGCCTGTATGGAGAGACCTTGCTCTTGAGTACCCACAAGCCTGACATGGTGGCTGTTGTCAGGAAACGGCAGCTGCGTGGACACACCTGAAACTGCCCCTCTCTATACCATGTAGACTCTTTCCTTTCCCCTTAGTCATCTGCACATTCATTTTTTTTCTTGCTCACTTTTTAATTAGTTCTTTGAAATTTTCACATAGTATATTTTGACCATATTCACCATTCACTCCCCTTCCCCCACAACTCTTCCCAGATCTTACCCACCCAACTTTTTGTCATCTTTTTTTGAACTAATTAATTTCAGTATGTGCTGCCCATATATTCCTGTGTAGCCATCCACTGGAGCATGGTTGACCTACCAGGTGACACACCCATAAAGAAAACTTGGCTGTCCGTCTCCCTGCAGCTATCAATTGCCAATAGCTCCTCAGCTGTGGATGGGACATCATGCTTACCTCCCTCCTCCATGCTAGGGTTTGTCTGACTTGAACTTACACAGGTCTTGGGTGTGCTGTCACAATCACTGTCAGTTCATATGTGCAACTGCCCTGTTGTTCAGAAAGCACCGTTTTATTAGTCTGCCATCTCTGGTTCTTACAGTCTTTCTACCCCCTCTTCTGAAATGTTCCCTGAGCCTTGGGAGGAGAGGGTGAGATACAGGTGTCCCATTTAGGGCTGCACACTCCACAGTCTCTTATTCTCTGCACCTTGAGCAGTTGTGGGTCTTTGTGTTAAGTACCAACTACTGCAGAAAGAAGCGGGGTCAATCAATGGGTATAATGATAAATCATTATCATTTTAATACTATGTGGATTTAGCAGATTAATAGTAAGTTTTTTTTACTACTGCTTGTGACTTGTCTAGCCACAGGATTTTTGGCCCCAATAGCAGTGCCAGCTATTTTGTTTCATCTTGTGGAGTGGGCCTTAAATCCAATCAGAAAGTAGGTAGTTACTCCCATGACATTCATGCCACTATTGCACCAGTGGGCATGTCTTACCAGGCCAATGGTTATAGCTTGCAGGGTTCACAGCCAGGTAAGATTGATGATTACTTTTTTCCTTTGCATAGCCTTTCAGGACTATGAAAGCTAGTCACAGGAATGAAGCTTCAAATCAGTACCAGCTTGATTTCTCCATGTTTTATGACTATGTTGTCTTTAGGAATAGGGTCTTACTACCAAGTTCCGAAAGGTAACCAAGAATAATAGCAACAACCTATAATCTTTGGGTGGGGGTGTCTATGGCCACTGACCAACAACTCCAAGAGAGGGAGCCCATTTCTGGCACTGGGCTTTTTTATTTGCTAGCCTGTGGTAATGGCATCATTTTCCTGTTATAGAGTATTCCATTTAAACTCTTTTTTATATAAATGTATGTACATATTTTAGGAAGTTTCTACAGTAGTAATTTCCATATGACTTTTTCAAAAGGTCTTTAATGTTAGTTATCCCTCCCTGTATTCCCTCCTCTACCCTGCCCTCCTATCAGCCACCCCATTTAACCCCTCCTGTTCCATTATTCCCCTTTACCCCTTTAGCTTGATGAATTTGGAGCAGATACCTCCTGTACCCCCCTGTTCCATCTTCAATGCTGAGGGTGTGGAGAACCTGTGGCCACACTGGTCATCTCATGAATGTAGACTTTCATTTACTCTAAGAAGTCTGGAAAACCAGATATACCCAGTTCTTTGGACTAGATGTGCTCAAAACTGCAGTGACAACTCTGTTCTCCATGTGAGTTTGTTTCTAGGCTTCCTGCTGTGGTCTGTGTCTATTCCCACCAAACTCTTCTGCCAGAATCCTTTCCTACAGCTAATGGGAGCTGGGGTCTCTGGAAGGTGACTAGATCAGGGGGATGGAGGGAGCCCTTATTAGTAGAATTAGTGCCTTTATAAAAGAAGCTCTAACTAGCTTCATTGCCCTTTACCTTTGTGCATGGGCACAGTGTGAAGTCACCATCTATGAACCAGGAAGCCTCACAAGCCACTCAGTTCCTCGATCTTGGACCAGATCTCTTAGATGCCAGAACTCTAGAGCTGTGAGCAACACCTTTCTGCTCTTTTGTAACCCATGTCAGCTAAGACAGTTGCATGATCTGCAGTGTTGAGTGGGATTGTGACCCCCCAAGTGTGAACCTCCTTTCCCACTGCTTTGTTCAGTTTGGCCAGATAGTAATAACCAAGTTTTGAGTATTTGTTGCCTGACTTTGCCTGGGGAGTCTATTTCTATTCACTGTGGTAGAGAGGGTACTCACAGATCAAAGAAATGGTTCTGTACAAGTCCAGCTTGGTGAACCAGTGAGTTTGTTGGGGTTAGTTACAGGAGCATGGTGGCTCAAAGGCAGCTGCATCACCAGGAAGTCCATCCCAGCATGAGAGACAATTCATGAAAGCTGTATACCTGGAGCTCCCTGCACACCTTCTAGGCAACTCCACTGAAGAGTCTCCTTTCCCCAGCAGCTGTTTTCTGTTTTGTGACCTCAGCAGGGCTTGTGCATCTTGTAACCTTATCTCTTTCCTGAGCCTCCCCCTCCATCCAGGAGAAGATACTTTAACTGGAGAGAAAAGGCTGCTCTACAGTAGTAAACAGTGGACGGCCTCACTCGTACACTGCTGGTACAGAAACACCCTCAGGTTTGAGTGACAGGGATTCTATACAGGCTGTCAGCCCCTGCTTCACCCTTTCCTTACATGTCTGTTCTGGCTCCCTACTGACCTTTGAAGCCTGCGGAGCTCTTCTTAGCCTTTGCAGTGGGGCAGGCCTTACGGGCTATAGCCTGGCACTGCTTCCTATCTATGGTTCCTCTGCTTCCTGTCCATATGCAATGCAACCATTTGCTACAGCTGCATGTCACTCCAACTGTCATGCTCCCCCGCCCCTTCTGCCATGATGGACTGTACCCCCTCAAACTGTAAACTCACATAACTCCTTCCTCTCTTAAGTTGTTTCTCTCATAAGGAGAAAAATCACTAATCCAGTGATTTATTGCATGGTCTGCAGTCACAGGGACTGTGCTGGGTGGGGTGTCTATTCTGTCAGATTCCATTGATTTCACTTCCTGGAGAGGACAGTGCAGTTGCTGAGCTTCAGGTGAAACTCCGATTGTCTGAGATGCAATATCATCTGAGATCATCTGGGACTGAGGAGATGGCTGCTATCTCAATCCCAGCTCCTCCTCCTCCATCATAAAACCTCCACACGTCTGCTGATGTTCACAGTCAGGCTTTCATTTTATCATCACTTCTGAGTCCAGAACGGGGAGGAGACCAAGGTCGTTTTACACTTGACTTTTGAGTATTTGTTGTAGCGTTAGAGGCTCACATGCTAATGAGGTGGGTTTGAAAAGTGTCCCAGAGGCCAAGTATCGGGACACTTTACAGTTCCTGTTTTAATGGCTGCAGTGTTTGGTGCATTCACCCCCAAATCTTCACTCTCTGTCTGATGCCTGGCTTGAATACATATTTCTTTAGTCCATTTCTTTCTTTGCTGTCTGCAGAGCTCATGTCTCATAAGTACTTAAGGTATAAATGAGATGCTTGCACACTTAGCTTTTCCAGGTCATGTCCCATGTGTCTCTGCAAAATCGTGTCAGCTTGGCTAGATGATGGCCTGGGAAGCAGAGCTGGGCTGTTACTGGGGGATAATTACAGAACACGGCAGAGGCTGCCTCTGCCCGTTTCTCCTCAGAGCCCCGTCATGCAGGAGACCCTGGCAAAGACACTGTGTATACTCACATGCCTGAACTATGAGCCCCAGAAAAGCCCCTTGGCCCCAAGCCAGCCAAAGGACATCATTAGAATACAAGAGCTCACTGAGGAAATCTCTGGGGATACCGAAGAGCCGGGTGATGTGCACAGGACAGCTCATCGTTAGGGATGTCACTCAAGGCTGCACACCTGTCTCTCAGATCCAGCCTTCTGCTCCAGGCTCAGGGCTCAGGAAGCAGCTGTAAGGCTGTCCTGCTCACATTGTCTCCTTTTATATACATACATATAATATATATATATATATATATATATATATATATAAAATGTGTATGAGTGTATTGCCTGCATGTATGTGAGTGCATCTGTGTTGTG